CAGACTACATCATTGATTACAAATTTAGGGGTTTTAATCAGAGGCTAATCCTGGTTATGGTAGCGGTAATGAATTTATATTTTTTTAAATTTTTGCCCTTTGACTTTGACCGGACTTTTGTTTCAAATGACGCCGTAAGTTTTGCAATGTGTTGACCCACGTCCCTGTGTGTGTCCACAGGTGGGCGTCACCTCGTGGTTTGACGAGATGAACGACACAGAACTGCTGGACCTGATCCCATTCTTTGAGCGGCTGGCGCGGGCAGACAACGTGTACAGCTTACTGAAGACCATGTCCGAGTCACCTTCTTCCACCACACCTTCTTCCTAGCCTCACAGGAGCAGCATCTTACCGGACTCATGGCGGCCACGACCACCCATCCCTTCCTCCCTCCCTCGCTCTCGCTCCCGCTCCCCCTCACCCTCCCCTCCCTCATCCCTCACCGAAGTCTCCTCCCCTCCCCCTCCACCTGCCCCCTCCTTTCTTCTTCATCATGTCCCGAGTTCCATTCCCTTGTAGCTTCTCCTGGCTTGAATCATTTTAATTGTACCCCACTTTTCTTTCTTTTTTATTTTTGGTTTCTCAATCGTGTTTTTTTAAGAACTGATCATATCTTGTCCTTTGTTTTGAATGCTACATTTCAAAACATTTCATAATTTTATATCAGTTGACTTTTACAAATTTATTAGCGGTACAATAAGTGATATTTGAACAAATGTATGTTTTAGACTATGTTTACTGAAGTATGTCGTGGCCTCTATGCAGCTAAGGGGATTTTTTTTTTTTTTCTTTTTAAATGTCACAAGACAAGTTTTATGCCACTTTGTGTTTTCAGATCTTTTTATGTCTACAACTGCCCTTGAGAGGGTCTCAATTTCCTTTGACCTGTACACCAGACAACTGTTTTTGTATAGTATGGTGAAAGACCCTAGAAAACACAATAAGAACCTGGTACTTTTGAGAGTCTTGAGTGAGAAATTTACTTTTGATGCAGCCTTGGCCTCTCTTACTGGTCAATCATGGCTGTCAAGTTGTGTTGTAGAAACTCTGTGGATTATTTACACCTAAACGGATGACATTGTAAGCTGCCCACTGTCTGGACTGTAAAAGTGCTTTAGGACAGATCAGTCGTTCACTTGCGTAAATTTGTTATTGATTTCGTGGCTTTTCTGCAATGGACCCCTTCCCTTTTTACCTTTATATTGGAAATTGGGTAAACTTCAGTTATGAGGGGATGTAAAAATACAGGACGTGGAGGAGTCTTTGGATGCTTTTGCTCTCTGTGGTGGTGGCATTGTCCGACCATGACCAGAGTGTGATCAGTGAGCTGTCTTAACCCTTTGAACCCCAGACTGGAGGTTTTCTAGATCCACATCCCTGAACTTATAGAAAGTGGTTAGCCCCAGGCCCCCCGGCCTTGCTGGATGCCAAGAAAGATCATGTCCTGAGATGGTTTAACAGCCTTTCAGGATGCTTAGAAATATGCCCCAGGCTGCCTTTCTGGTCTTGTGGGTTGAAAAATGTTATGGTATAGGACTCATGTCCTATTGAACCGTTTTGCTGATAATTCTCTAAAGGTTTGGGCTGAGCTCTTGTGTTTTTAGGCATTTTATTAGTGAAATCAAGATTTTTTACTGTCAGTTCTGTCAGGTAACTCCAAGGGTTGTAGCATTTTCGATAGTGCAGATGGACATAATTATTTGAGCTGTTAGGCAATGTAATCAACATTCTCTGCAATGGGCGATGCTAACAGCTCCATGGTAACTGAAAGGAGTAAGTTTTTGCCATCTTGTCCCTTTTTTGGAGGTACAAGGGTTTAATAAGTTCTACTGATAGTGGATGTGGTGGTGTCATGTCATACGACCTGGACAGGTAGCAAAAATCTGTAGCTGGTGGTAAGACACGGAGCTGAAGACCACCCACCCCCCCAGTTGTTATTACGGCTGGAATGTCTTAGAAGTGACACTAGTTCTAGTAAAGTACTGTTCCCGTCATGTACTCCTTTTTATGGCTTGTGGATGAAATCTAGATCTGTTGTCCCCGTATTTCCCTTTATGTTGTTGTATTTTATGGGGAAGGGTTCGTTTAGCATTTTATTTGTTTGTTGTTGTATTCTTTTTGTGATTTTGTTCCTTTTTTTGGGTATTTTATCTTCTAGGAGAAAAGTATTACCTGATCTAGGTGGTGACTTGTCCCCTCCCTGTACCTCGTCCGCCCCACCCTCCCACCCACCCCCCATCCGCCTGTGGACATGCAGTAGTTCCTGACCAGCGGACCCGTACTCGTAGTTACACGTTTGGGTTTTTTGTCATCATTTTGGGGTTGTTGGTTTTTTTGGTGTTCCTGTCAGACTTTTGTTTTTGGGTTCAGAATCAAATTGGAAACTTCCGATCCCATTTCTATCATTGAACTCTGGTCATCTTCATAAAGTCTTGTTACCATGGAAGCAAGGGGCCTTTCTGCATGCTGATGTTTTCACACAACTGGCAGCTGCGAGCCTGTGGCGTGGGCGGGGCTCGGGCGGTGGTGGCTGCGTGGCGCTTGATCAAACACACACCTCTGTCAGTCTGATACGCCAGATGTTCACAAGTGTTATATTGTAAGAAAAGGCTCATTTTTCCTGCTCGTGGGTGGTAGTGACTTGTGTCCAAAATTGTACTCCAGATTGTAGGCTTTCTTGGGTTACTAAGTGTACTTTTGTTGCTCTAGACATTTATTTTGGGAGTTACAAATTGGAACATATTAATTAATCTTTTGTTCTTAGAAAGTAACTTAGTCTTTCGCCCAATTTTTTTTTATTTGCCCAAAGTCATTTTTTAAATGCAATTACTTCTGGATGACAAGAAATGAAAAAGTATCTACCCATGTGTGCAAATGGAATAGGGTCAAATCTTTATAACAGATTGTACAAGTAATGATATGGTGTGGCTGGACTTACTTTCTACTTGAGAGAAAATAAGTTCTACATACCCACACACTCATGATCAAGTGTCACAAGCACATTCGCTGATTTCAGCCCATGCAACACGCTGGCAGCTTTTAAAGCCACCTACGGCGAGATACCTTTTTATATATAATATATAAATATATATATATGCAAACTACAAAAGACAAACAACAAGTGTACATAAAAACAAATATAACTACATTTGTCAACTTGTGTGTGATTTCTTTTTTTGAAAAAAAAACTTTTTGTTTTAACATGCATTTTTTTTTATCCTGTTGTTGTTAAAGGAATATAATGATATGATATAATAACATATTTCAATATCATCATTGTTGCGCTGGTAATTAATATAAAGAAATGATTGTAATAATAATAATTATGAAACTTATTATATATAATATTGTTGGTAATGTACATTATGAAATGCGTAATAAGAATGAGTGCAATGTTGTTCCTCTTTCTTACTACACCGCAGAGTGGGCTCTTTGTGTGTCTGTTCCGTGTTTGTGTGTTTGATTTCTTTTGTGTGTGTACATATACATACATTTGATTATACACAGTTGTATGTTTTTTCATAACTTAAAAAGAAATTGTCAAGTTGTTTTTTTTACTTGTGAGTGTGGTGGGCGATGGACCCTCTGATTCTGTACTGTGGAGAAGTTTTTGATTGTGAGTGAGACGAGGGCACAAGAGTTAACGGTTTTTAAAAAAATACATTTTCACACGACTGCGTCACACATAAGGAAAACATTGTAAAATGGTCATGTGTGTTTGAATTACCATGAAAACATTTTTAATTCATTCATTTATTCCGGGGGGGGGGGGGGGGGGGGGGGGGGGTTTGGGTACTTGAATGAGAAACACTTGCCCTGAAGATTTTGCGAACAGTTTATATAATGAACTCTTTTTTGATAGTATTATATATTGCCTCTGTTAGAATGTTTCATTAACAGAAACATCTTTTGAAGCTGCTTCAGTCTTCGCAATATTTTGCTTCTGCGAATGTTTGCCCCATCTTCTCTGTCTACTAAGACATTGGCAGTCGTTAGTGGAATATCATCTACGATTCTGGGTGATGATGTCAAAACTTTTGTTGAAGAGCGGAGTCATCGCCGTCATAGTGTGTGTCATGATACCATGTCGTGTCTTCGGAGTTCGAATGATGTAGGGGAGCAGAGATAATGAGATGTTCATCTGGATACTTGTTACTGCATGATATTAAAGTCTCTCTCTTCCTATTACCCCAAGTCTCCTCCCGCTGCTTCATGTTTTACATCTCAACTCTGTGTTTTTTCCCCTTTTCTCCAGTTTTCTGTTATTGATTCTTGGTCCTTGGATTTGAATGTGTGGAATTACCTCGACTGTTGTAAAAAAAAGTTGTGGTTCCGTTTTTCGTTTTCTGACCAACAAATTCTGGTACATGAGCTGCATTACTTTATTGAAAAGGGGAAGGGGGATGAAGGTGCGATGTGCTAGCTATGCTGAGACCGTAAGCGGTTGTTTAATGCGATGTGGGAGTGACTGGCGCTGTCTTTGTAAGAGAGTGTGATAAAGAAAAAGAATACTACACCGCCCCTCCGGCTTACCTTCAGACCCCTCCCCTCTTCCCTCATGCAACCATCCGTCAGCTTTCACTGTCTGTCCTCTGTTCTCAAGGTTGTGATCCCCAGTTTCTCACAGAGCTCCACCATGCATGTTTCCTGTGACCCTTCCCTCTTACAGTGATCCTCTGGTCTCATTCTTTGCCAATTCATCAGCTTTGCTGGTGTACAATCTTGTGTACACAATCAGGTCTCAGTTTTTGGGAGGTTTTGGTGTGTTTTTTTAATCTACGTAATTGACAAGAACATTGAAGTGTACCAGAATGACACTGAAACTGCAAATTTTCCCCACCTGTGGGTTCATATTTCGTTCTAAGGAAACATTCAGCTTTTGAAATGTGATAAGTTCTTTCACCAAAGTTTTGAACAGCCGTCAGTTTGTTTTTTGTTGCTATTTACTTCAGGAGTACAGGTCAGACGTTATCAAGTTTCTGTTCCAAAGGAGAAAACAGCCAGGCATAAATTGGACGCATTCAAAACTGCTGCTGGGTTCTGAGCTGCTTATAGCATCCTGTTCTTTCGTCTGTTTGACTCTCATGGTCTCATTCGCTTTTTCATCAGTTCTTATGATATTAAATTGTCCTGGTCAGTATTAATGTCTTTCCTTCAAGGTGGACAGTTGAGCACAGCTGTCGTTCAGTGGTTCTACCACTAAGAAGAAGACACTGTGTTGGAAGTGATCCAGTGCCACAAGTGTTTTACCACCATCCATATGAGAGCAAACCTATTGGGGCTTTTGTTTCAGACGTGCCAGCTAGTTTGGGTTCAGTTCGACCCAGCGCAACCCTATGTGAGATGTGCGGACAGAACGAGTTACTTCTAGCAATCCAGGAATGGAGATATCTGCCCAAAATTGACCCTGGGGTCAGATTTATAGACTTTCAGTTGATGCCATTTTCTTCAAGTCAACCGTGTCAACATTGAGCAAACTTCGTCTATAAAGTTGATGTATCAATTTCCATAAGGCTAAAATCCAAGCAGTAACTCGTTTGTCAGCACATCAACCTTATGTCTGGACAGATTCCATGTCATCAGTAGGAGAGTGTTTGTCTATTACTAGCCTGAGAAATAAATTAAGGGCTAGGGTGTCAACGCTTTGTTTTTTCATAATGTGTCGGAAATATTTTTCATCTGAGAAAAAAGACGTGTTGAGAACTTTGAAAGATACAAGATTTTAACTAAAGTAGCATACAGTTATTTTGAAAAGCAAAATTCTGCCTCAAACCGCTTAATTTTTCTGTTGCATAAAGTTTAGTTTGGAAGTATAAGGAAGAAGAATTAGGCTCAAGGCTCCGGGATTTGTGCTGATCTGATGTCCCTGTGGGTGTGCTCTGGTCCTGGTTTGTCCCCGAGGTTCGGACACTTTGTTGTTCCACTTCTCTCTCTTGCCACATATTGCTCAGTCATCCAGGTATGTTGTCCATCTTGCTAAACGCCCATGACAGCTTCTTAAACACTGCATGGGCCACTTCCATCATCTGATCCTGTCACCATCCTTTCAAAAGCACGAAGCTACCTCTACTGCACTGGAATGTTCCCTTTGCGCACTCCTCAGACTGTTTAGCTGACTTGTGTTGTCTCCCTCCCCCCTCTCCTATCCAAGCTATTTTGCTTTGGTTTTTAGTTATGTGTGCGAGGATCTCCTTTATTTTTTAATCATTACCCGCAGCTGAGCATAACATTTTTAACATGTCTTTTCAAAGGTAGAACATGTGGGTCCTACTTTGGGATGCCAGGCTGTCAAATGTTCCTAGGACCGAAGAAAGTCATGGCTCCACTTGGTCTCAAGGCTCAAATGCTGAGTACGTCGGTCCAGTTTGTGACTCCCTGAACTGCCTTTATGGTCTGCTGCGTCTCTTTCTGTTCACTGATACTCTTGTTCTGATTTGTTGGGTGAGAATTGTGGCTGACGTCAAGCTGATTGGTCATTGTTCTTTTATTATGGCTTGGCATAACTTGTCTTTGCTCGTTGGACGTTACTGATGTGCTCGTCCTAAGAGTTTATGTTTCTCAATTTTAGAAAGTCTTGTTTTAGGTTAAATGTTCTGTGTTATGTCTTAGTATGTCTTTGTTTTGATCATCTCATGAAGCATTATTTCGATGAACGCACACAGCAGCTATTTTTTGGCCTAAAGTGAATCATGTTGTCTCTTGTGTTCAGCTCCTGTTCAGATGTCATTTGGTTTATGTTTATTTCACTTTGGGTTAGGTTTTTGATATTCCTGAGTATTAAAACTGTGGTAGTGAGGTCAGTGTCTTAGAAGGAAGTAAAGGTGCTTTGCAAAATGAAAATAAAAAATTTGAAACTGCCAGAAGTAGTTGTGGAGCCTTTTAGCAGCCCTTGGTTCTGAGCACACAAACCCTTACACATGACTTCATTTGGCACTGAATTTTTGTATTATGGTGATAGCATATTGGTTCCTGGGAGTTAGATATGTATTAGCCAAGTTTTGTCAATCTCATGCAGACTGTGGTGTTGACGAGGTGCAAGAAAAGATCTTTTACTTTATGAAGTGGTAAGAGATATTTTAATTTTATGGTTCCTATAGTATTGCTCTTTAGTTTTGTTTGAGAGGAATTGTGAGATGTCAGATTTCTGAAGAAGCTTACCTATGGGTACCTTCAGTAGTATTTGTAAAATAGGCTCGGTGTGTGAGACCTACTGTCATGCTGCTCCAGGACTATTTGGTTTTTCTTGTGTAAATGTGGAAAGAAGACGATAGAAAAAATTGGCTTTGATTGTAAATGTGTACATTTCAGTTTAAATTATGTGTTGATTTCATCCTTCTGTCTCGTGTTCTGAGCTGTGCGTTCTGTCTTACCCTGTCGTGGTTATCGGAAAATTCTTTTAGTTCGTGCACGCTGGAACTGCTAACCTGTGATGCCTGTCTTTGGTAACCTTTAATGTTTTTGGGTCTTTCCCTGTGTACTTTTGTTAGTTGTCTCCTCCCTTTTCCCCCTTTTCTGTGATGTCATATGAAAAGACAATGCTCCAATTTCATTTTGGATATTGGTGAAAGAGGTTTTGGGTTTATGTACGTTTGGTTGGTCGTTTTGCTAGTGCCATGTGTGATGTGTGGTGTCTGCCTTTTGCTTTTGAATTCTTTTTTGTCATTTCAGTTAAATTTGTTGTTGCAAGTGAAATTTTAGCCATTTTTCATGCTTTTTGTCGCTTTCTGTTTTTGTATTTTTTTAGTCTTAACTTTTGTAGATGCTTCATTCATAAGAAACGATTATGCAAGCTAAGATAAAGATTGTAAATTGTGAGACAAGTTGCTCGACTGTTTTGTGCGACTCCACAGCCCAACATATATCATCAAAGAAATGTAACCTTGTCTTGGGGTCGCACAGTTCAGCTGGAAAAACCTGTTTTATTATTATACATGATATTTTTTGTTATAGCTGATGGTTTGCCTTTCTGCAGGCTTGCTGACCTTAAAGCTTGTTTTATCTATCTATCTATCTATCATTTGAGTCTTGACTTTTCGTCTTGTGACGCGGGTGCTGCTGTCTTGTTTGGGGCTGAGCCACTCATGTCCTCACATCAAGGTGGCTGCACCCCTTCCCCCCTTACCCCCTCCTCTCTGTAGCTCCCTCCCCCCCCTTCCCCTCTCGGTGTGAGGAAGAGTGTTCTGCTGGTACTGCTTTATTTTGTCCTCTTCATTGCCCGAGGCAGCTCAATGTGCTCACAGTTCTGCTGGGGGTCCACGGGACTGGTGGTTTCTGCTTTAGGTGTGTGTGTGCGCGCGTGTATGTGTGCGCGCGCACACTGTTTGGTTGTCTTGTTCCTCATTTTTTGTCTGTCATCATGTCATAAGGAAGAAGAAGTAGTCTGTGACTTGTCTTTACAGACCTTGTGCCTGGTTCAGAAGGTCTGTATGTCCTGTGGTTCTTTCAGTGGCTACAATGACTTGTGGATCTGTCAGTGGCTACTATTTTCCTTCTCTCTACAGTTGGATCTTTTCCTGTTGTTACAACATTATCTTTGTGCTCTGGGCTAAGTCTGTTGTATCCCACTCTCTCTTTCTCTCCCCCCCCCCCTAACAACTCTACCACCTTTGACCTCCCACCTACCGTGTAACCATCGTCTCTCACCCTGTATTTAATCTGACCTTGCTCATTCTCTAGGCCAGAACAGGTTTGCACTCCACTACTACCACCTGAGAAGCTAAGTCGTCTAAGTAAGCGCGCTGTAATGTGAACTGAAATGAAAATAGTGAATAAGTTTAAATGTGTTACAACGGGAAATAACAAGAGGAAAAGTCAGTCACGATGGCAAATTGATCTAAGATCATCCCAGCTTACCAGGACAGAGCCTCAAGTGAAGTTGGATTGAGCAGTAATGATAATTGTGATTTAATAAATCATAAATAGCATTTGTATACTATAGCACATATTCCTGCTCAACAGCAAGCTCTATGCACTTCACAATCTATATTATTACCTCAGCAGACCCAAGAGCCCTCAGAAACATTCTGTTTCCGTACTTGTTCCATCATGAAGTGATGACGATGATTTTTAATATCCGCAAAGGAAGAGGAAGTTGTAGACTTTGCCATAGGAGGGCGTTGTAGCGTGTGTGTAATACAGAGCAATAGTTTGTGGCCAGAGTGCCAGTTCTATGGCTGTATGTAGGGGGTGGCTGTGGAGAGCAGACCTGAGGCTGTCTACTTAACAAACTCTCAGCCCTTCCTGCGCCTGGTGTGTCCTGATGGTGTCAATCTGTATCGAGGTTTTTGTTGTGCTAACCAGAGTGAGACAGTGCAAGAGAGAGAGTGTGCGGCTTGAGTGTTAGATGTGCATTGAGAGCTTAGTTGACCTGTGTGTCTCTGATGTTGTATTTTAAGGGAGCGTTATACACTGAAAGAATGAGCTGAGCCTAACTTATAGAATACGGTGGGGTCTGCTTAAACCAAACATGGTTAATTTGAAAACGGCGATAAACCGAAAGAAAACATAATTCCCCCATTGATTAATCTCTGTAAGCCGTAAACATGGCTAATCAGAAGAAAATCTGGTGGTCTGGCAGGCTGTGGTTTAAGTGGGCGCGACTGTATTTTTTTTGTTGATGATGGGAAAAAGTGGACGCCTCTGTTGGGCGAATGAGCTCCCAGGGCTTCGATCATGTGGCTTGTTTTTGGGTTTGGAGCAGAAACGCTGATGTAGATACACATGTATGTATTATATGTGTGATCACAACAACATGACTTGCAGCATTTTGTGTGTGGCTTTTTTGCTGTTAATTATATGTCAGTACAGAAGTGTCCTGTGTCCTGTAGGCCTATGCCAGAACTCTTCTTACGTCTCTAGCGCTCTCCCAGTTTAGTTTACTGTCATATGTCTGTTTGACTCGTCCGCTGAGTTTGTTCTTTTATGTGTCTGATAGGTTGTTAAAAAATGTTGATATGCTTTTGGGAAATTCAGAACTTTATATTTCTATTTCACATAAAAACACTGAATGGATGATGTGTGTTCAGTATGATTAAATAGTGGCACAAACTTTTTAAAAAGTATAATGACTTCCTCTGGGGGGGGGGGGATTTGATTTGTAGCCTGTAGGATACGTTTTGTGTTCACTGAAACAAGTTTCTGAAATTGTTGCGGGTAAAGCATTGCGTTGTGGTTTGTCTTGTAGTGTTATGGAGGAGCAAACAGTTTGAACTTTGTTGTGTATACTTACAAGTAGCGCATACCAAAGCGTTTTGTTTGTCTCAGTATTGCCGGACCTGGTCTTGCTCATGGTAACTTACAGTATCTATTTCCTTTCCTCGCCTGGTCTCTGTGGCTGTGGTCACCCCCCGGTCACTCCGGTCAGGTTATGGTCGGCGAGCTGTGTTAATGTCCTAATCCCAGGAAATAAAAGTGATTTAGGAGAGTGAAAAAGCCATTTCATTCTTTTAAGAATAGCACCAACATCATTGTATATTCTTTTTTTTTCCCCCAACATTTAGAAATTTGAATTTGGACAAAAAATTTCTCGAGCGTGTGCTACATAGCACAGATAAAGAAACTGCAATAATTTTGAGAAATTTCAAAATTTTGGACGGAACATTTGAACAGCTAGCCAATGTTACAGCTCTCGTTGCTTTTTATTATCTCCCCTTATCAAGTTTTCCTGCTTTGTTGTTTGTTTTGTTTTTGTTGGGGGGTTTTTTATTCTCCCAGCTGAGACCACCAGGCTTTCACATACCTGTGGGGAAATTCATTGAGAAAATCTTGCCAACAATGCGTCTATGCAAAGTGAATGAGACTTTGTTGAGAGTTTCAGAGAAGACACCTGTCGGAGGAAACTATTACAGCATTTGTTTATTAGGGGGAGCTCGCGCCCCACTTTTAAGTTTTGCTTTCCATCAAGTCTGAAATTGTTTTATTTTTTTAAAATTTCATTCACTGCTGTCTCAGTATTTTTTGTCTGGGGCTTGTCGTTGAGATGTCTGTAGTGCTTAATAAGAAATGCTGGTTTTTTGTTTGGGTTTTTTGTTATTGTTGTTGTTTTTGTGTCTGACATGTGTTGATCAGCTTTTGAGCTCTGACGTGGCATTACGGTTCATTATGGTTCATCAGCGGTTGAGCAGTGGCGTGGCATTATGCTAAACGTTTTGGCTGTGAAGAGCACAAGTGATTTCAGTGTATTTGCTACTACTAAGCTGGTTTGAAAGCGAGTGTGAGAAAGGAAATGAAAAAGAAATAAACTGTTTTTTATTGGGCTTTTTTTTTGGGGGGGGGGGTGTTCTTTCTTTTGGTATTATTGTGCATAAATGCGTTTTGAATATTTCTGTGTTTAGTAAGCGAATGCTCATGCGATTGCAGAGTGTGTGTATATTATGTAAGTATAATAAAGTAGGCGTGTGTGCATGTGAGTACGAGTTTTTGATGAAGTCTTATACTAATACAATGGCGTAAAGTGCATTGTTCATGTACGCAGTACGTGGGCAGTGGCTCTGGAGTTTCGTCTATGTACATACAACTTTTCATGTCTTCGAGAGATTACTATCACCGAATAAAATAAGATATCACCTGGACATGTTCCGTGTTTCTTTCTTATAGCTCTAGATAGATCTACATGAATGAGTTAATAAGATATTTTATGTTGACTGTATTGATGTTGGATGTTGGAGTTTGTTTTTTCTTTACCATCTGTCCTCAGCCAGTGCACCGTTTTTTTATTCTAGTTTCCTTTCAAACAGCTATTGTTTTTTGTAGGTGCTCTGGTGTTGTTTGTTCATTCTTTCCTATCAAACATCTATCATCGTAGTGTCTACCTGGGGGACATTTAACTTATTCTTATGCACAGTAGAATTGTAAATGGGCTGATTTGTCAATGTCATGCGCATAACTGTGCCTGGACTGCAGCAGGGAACTTTTGCTTTTTCATTCCTAATCCTTATTATCGTAATTTTTCCTCTACTACTTTTGCATGTTTGTCACACTCCAGTGACCCGTTTTTCCCGGAGGGTACCTTGATAGTCGAAGCAGACTTTGTGCTGTTAAAGCTAGAGAGGTGAGCAGAGTAAGTCTAATTCCCTTTAAGGACTTCTCTGTTGACATCCACCCCTTGGCGCTCATATGACTTTATGCAGTTGCGAGCGCCGTAAAACCTCTACTAAACCTAAACATGTCTCCTTTTTTGTGTGCGTTACTTTCTTGTATCGCCTCTAATTTTACGCACTTATATGATCTAATTTTGTTGCAAATGCTGTAAAAGTTACTAAGACATAATACGTGGGTGGTTGGCAGGTCCTCTGGTGTGGTTTTCTTCTTCTTTCCTATCAAACATCTGTCGTCTTTATCTCCCCTCCTTTTTTGTGTTTGTTACTCTCTTGAAACACCTCTGATCTTCGGCACTTATATGACCTTATATTGTGTTGCAAGTGCCGTAAATCACTTACTAAAACTATTTTTTTAAACATAAAACATGCACATGTTTACACCCGCATCAACACAATTTAGATGGTTTTCATTTTCAAGATTGGCTGGTGCGTCGGTGACCTACTGGTTAGGCTACCGTACTCGTAATCATAAGAGTAAGATTGAGAGTTCGGGGGTTCGAGCCTCAGCTCGGTCCGACGTTGTGTCCTTGGGAAAAGCACTTTACGCGAACTTCCCACTTGGCTCGGTCCTATCGGAGACGGACGTTAAACTAGGAGGTCCCGCCCCTTAAATAACCTAATAGTACTAATAGTGTTGATAGGGGCTTTAAACCTATACCATACCATTTCAAGATTGGCTTCTTCAACCCTGCCGACCATCAAGGGTGACTGGTAGTATAGAACGTGACGCAATATAATATGATCACAATACCCCAACATGGGTGGTTGGCGGGTGACCTGGTGTGGTTTGCTCCTTTCCTACCAAACGTTATGTCACCCTTACCTCACCCCCTTCTTTTTCTTTGTACATACTGTGTGTTACTCTCTAGTAACACATCTAATCTTCGGCACCTATATTATGGCCTAATTGGGTTGTACATGCCGTAAAACTCTCTCTAAAACTAAACTCAACCATTGTGGGTGTTTGGCGGGTGCTCTGGTGTGGTTTGCTTCTTCTTTCCTGTCAAACATCTATTGTCTTTATCTCCCCTTTTTCTTATTTGTGTTTGTTACTCTCTCGTAAGTGGGTTGTTGGCGGATGCTCTGGTGTGGTTTGCTTCTTCTTTCCTATCAAACATCTATCGTCCTTTCCTCCCCTCCTTTTTATGTATGTGTATGTGTAACACCTCAAATCTTCTGGCGCTCGTATGACCTTATGCAGTTGCGAGCGCCGTAAAACCTCTACTAAAACCCCCCAAAAAACCTCTCTTGTAACACCTCTAATCTTCGGCACTTATACATGTATGACCTTATTGTGTTGCAAGTGTCGTAAAACTCTTACTGAAACTGAACTAAATCCATGGCACCATTTTGATTTTTATATATACTTGAACATTCTTATGACTTGTGTCTGTGGTACTGTGGTTCGGCTCTGTGTTGTCGCACTCGGAAGACCCGCATGGGGAGAAAATTTTGGAGCACATGTATCTCTCAGTCTTTCTACAGGCAGGGTCGGAAGTTGGGTTGTTTTTTTTTGTTTTTTTTTTGGGGGGGGGGGGTGGTAAGTGTTTTACGGCGCTCGCAACTGCATAAGGTCATATGACAGCGCGGGACACATAAACTTTTTCAATTGGTAGGAAATTTTGAATTTTTCGCCGTATGGCGGCCGAAGCCTACTCTTGTCTATTTTAGATCACTAAGGGAATTTAACGTGCGCAACTTGCACACTGGCCCTCCGAGATTTTTCGCCCTTGTCTGAGAAGGCTAGGTGTAGATCTTTTCTACCAGAAGATCAGTGGTGTGGCTGAAAGACAGCAGTCGGAAGGAGCCCAGGAGTAGCAGTAGAAAGGCTGCAGAAAGAGCCAGGAGCCCAGTGGAGGGGGCAAAGAAGGTGAGGGGGTGGGGCAGAAGGAAGAGACGAAAGCAGATGACAGAACATTGCTAGAGAGCAGGAAAGGAGGTGAAAGGAAACAATTTTAGAGAAGAAAATGTTTCGGTTGCTACCCGAGTTCGAACCCGGGACCTTTGAATAAGAGGCAACACTTTAATCTCTAGGCCACGAGAGTCCTCGTCGGAAGTCTGCTTCCGAGAGTCGACTGGGGCCTAAAAAAGGTTTTTTAAATGCCCACTTTAATACTTTAACAAATAATACGAAAAATCTTCCAGTTTATCGCTTGTGTGGGGGCTCTCGTGGTCAAGAAGTTACACTGTTCGCCTTTCATTCAAATGGTCATGCGTTCGAATCACGATAAGACCGAAAATGTTCTTCTCTAAAACTAAAATTTTCTTTCTCACTTCCTTTCCTGCTCTCTAACAATGATCTGTCGTCTGCTGTCGTCTCCATTTTCTGCCCCCACCCCCTGACCTCCTTTGCCCCCTCCTCTGGGCTCCTGACTCTTTCTGCAGTCTTTCAGTTGCTACTCCTTGGCTCCTTCTTACTGCTTTCAGCCATACCCCTAATCTTATGGTAGGTAAAATCTAACTCCTAGCCTTCACGGATAAGGCCGAAAAATCTCAGTGGTCACGTGTGCAAGTTGCATACGTTAAAGATCCCTTGGTGGTCTAAAACGATAAGAGTAGGCTTCGGCCGCCACCCCGGGCAAGGCAAAATTAAAATTTCCTACCAACTGACAATATTTAATGTGTCCCACATGCTCATATCATGACTTATGCAGTTGCGAGCTCCGTAAAGCACAAAAAATACAGATAGTAAAAAATCGCTTGTATTTTTCTGTAAGGACCTGGCGCCAGTCTCCTAGCTGTATAACTTTGCTTCCAAAGGGGCAGTAAAAAATGGAAAGTGGAACATTCACTTCAGGCATTTGACGATACCTTAGAATGCTTTTAGAGTTTGTATACATGTACTTCACAAGCGATAAATTTAAACTTATCAAAGTCAAAGATATCTGTGAACATCTCTTGAACGTTGTAATTGTAACAGTGTAGATCACTGTTTTTAAGAGAACGCTAGAACAGGATTCCAAAACAGTTTAAAATTATTTTGGTCCACTAGAGTTTGAGGCATCCGGACACTGCAATGTGCAGTACCCCTCTCCTCTTTCAGGGAAAATAACTGGAAAGAGAAAACAAAGAAAAGCATTATACTTATACACACGCCCGAGCACCAGCATTTGAATCTCTCTCTCTCTCTCTCTCTCTCTCTCTCTCTC